ACGTAATCGTGACTAGTCGACTAATCGTGGCAGCCCTAATTTGAATAAATGTCATCTGGGCAATAGTGACGATTTATGTCTTAGAACAACGAGAAAACTGCTTGTGACGTTTTCAAAATAATTTTATAGCTCTTTGCTGCTTTTCTTTCCAGTGAACTCAAAGAGCGGCTGAAGCCGGAGCTGCTCGAGTTGATCCGGCAGCAGAGACTCAACAGGCTGTGTCAGGGCACGATGTTCAGGAAGATCAGCAGCCGCCGCAGACAGGGTGAGAGCGCTCACAGGCTCGCGTGCAGCAAACGGCAGACTGAGCGTGTCAGGCTAACCCGCGTCTTTGTCTCTTCAGATAAACTGTGGTACTGTCGCTTGTCGCCCAATCACAAAATGCTTCACTACGGCGATGTGGAGGAAGACACGGAGAATCCACCAATAGAAACACTGCAGGAGAAGAGTGAGTTCAGTTTTTCTACACCAAATGGCTCGAACCATATTCATGCTCAGGTTTATCCATTAAAATTAAATTGTGAGAAATTGTCATGTGTGGAATTCCAGTTTATTATGCTCATTGATTAATCTTAATAATCATCAAGCATCAGTGCCCAACAAACCCTGATACAAAGTGCAGAACAGTGCAGGTGTGTTGAGCAGTTTTATTTGCACAGCAACAGTCGCCTCAAGGCGCTTTATATTGTAAGGTAGACCCTACAGTAATACAGAGAAAAACCCAACAGTCTTTTTTTGGTGACAGTGGGAAGGAAAAACATCTTTTTAACAGGAAGAATCCTCAGGGAGGGGCGGGGCCACCTGCAGCTACCGCAGAAGAAGGAGCTAATGTGACTCCGACAGATAGTTTTTATTGACATTATTTTTGTCTGAAGTATATCAACCACATGTGTGTTTTGATGCTTCCTCTTCAGTTCCAGTCGCAGATATCAAAGGCTTGCTGACGGGTAAAGACTGTCCTCACATGAAGGAGAACAAAGGCAAACAGAATAAGGTCAGCTGTTTCACCTTCTCAGTACCACGGTGACCACCTCCCGCTGTAGGTGGTGTGGACAGTCAAGGGAGAAATATGGAGAGAAACTAAACATGACTTGTCCATCGATGGGCTCACTCAGGGTATCTGGGGTCACGCTGAGGCGTTCCCAGGCCAGGTAAGAGGTGTGGTCTCTCCAGCGTGAAGTCCTCACCAAGCACACTGGGACGTCTCTGCTGCTCTCGAGCTTCTTTCTGTTTAACAATAATTCTTGTTACTGGTAATGATTGATAATAAGCGTGGACGCTGTCTCACTGAGCTTTCTCTGTAGGAGGTCCTCGACCTGGCGTTCAGCATCACGTACGACGTAGAGGAGTACAGCCTGAACTTCATCGCCCCGTCCAGAACCGACGTGAGTCTAAACGCCGCTCCGTCACCTCCTTCAGTTTCTTTGTGAGATACAGAAACTAAATCTAACCAGCTTCCACTACGTCTTCAGTTCTGCCTGTGGACGGACGGACTGAGCGTGCTCCTCGGCCGGGAGATGAGCAGCGAATCGATGCGGAGTGAGCTGGAGATCCTCCTGTCTATGGAGATTAAGCTCCGCCTCCTAGATCTGGAGAACGTTCCCATACCCGACAACGCTCCGGTCGTTCCCAAACCTCCGAGCAACTTCAACTTCTGCTACGACTTCAGCCAGACGGAACAATGAGCGCGTGACTGTGTAAATATGTGTGTGTGAAACGAGACGTTTGTGTGGGCGGAGCTGTGCGTGCACGCGCTCGTCATCTTAATCACAGATTTATAACTTTGACGCTTGAGTTTTCTTATTTTAAACATCCAAGTGAAACGAGTGACGCACGTCTGCACTGAAAGCTTCACACAGGTACTGAGCAAAATGTAATTCAATACTTTTTAATATAACCACTCAAGTAATGGTACTTTACACTTGTTTTACAATCATTTTATATTTTTGAATTCTCTAAATGTGTGTGAGGAACACTCGCGTGGAAAGGCTTTTTTAAAGAGGGCATTAACTACAACACGGTACGTCATTTATTCTGCAGCACATCAAACACACACAGCAGGTGTTCAGTGTTACACAGGACGCAGCTTCATGCACCTGCAGCCACTCGTCTTCATATGGACCTCAGCAGCTCTGCAGCAGAGATGCATTAAATGATTTTTAATCGTTGTTGCAAACAGGCACATGTCCCTCTGTCACAATCACACGGTACATGCAGTGGATGACTTTTGGCTTTTTGGATCAAATTTCATTGTAACTTTAAAACTGATGCTTTTTGTCCACGGCGCTCAGTGGCGCCACCTGGAGGAGCTACCGGGGAACTGACAGCTTTCATTTTCAGTCTTTCTGTAAGGGGGTTGATTTCAGCACAGCTGCTCCACACTGACACACTGACCTCTGTCCACGTTGAATCATGTGCTTTGATTTAATTCACATGAATAAAAACATTTGATTTATACAGCAAAAAAACAAACTTTGGTTTATTTATCAAAGACACCTTTGCACACTTTGGTCCATGATGAGTACAACAGCGTCCACAGTGGGCTGGAGTGGAAATGAAACTCGCTCGTTTTGGCATGATGCTCCCTTTCCAAGAACATCTGACACTCGATCATATTTAAAATCAACTTTTTTGAAAAGCAATTAGTGATTAAAACCCTGATTTACTTTGTTTTAATCTAAAAGAAGAAGTTGGGGAAACGTTTTCACTCCACAGCATCAAAGTGTCCCGTCCTACATCCTGCTTTTAACAACATCACAAACAAGCAAAGACTGCCAGCATTAAAACAAAGGAATTGAAGCGTCGCTGGCATCGGTCTACAACAATCTCTATAATCAACATGTTCTACGTCTGTGACAGCAGTATTTCATTTAAAAGCACCTCAAAGAATTTAAATATAAAGATCAAGTTTTCCGAACAGTAAATACATGAAATACTGACGACTTTCTTCCTCCTGTGGTGCTTTGAAATCTTTAAAAATAACATTTAGTCCAAACTGGTGATTCCTACTCCACACAAAGGAGCAGACATTTACTCAAGAGATGACATAATGAGGTCCTGCTGTAAACTTTTAAAGTATTTTTTCCTCTCTTGCACAAAATATTGACATGTGCAGGCTGAGAGCAGACTACGGTCAGCAGGTTTTCTTCTTCACGTCCCAGCAGCCTCTCAGGATGTTCACTCAGCCCGTCAGAGGCTTAGGCTAAGATCAGCCCCACCTTTGAATTTGTAGTGGAGATTCTCCAGGAAGGGCAGCTGTGTCTGGAGGAAGTCCACCGCTGCTACGGAGATGTTGTTGCACCTGGAGATGTCGAGCGTCCTCAGACGTTTGCAGTGCTGCACCAGGAGGAGCAGGGATCTGCGGGGTTTGGAGAGCAAACAGCGTAAGAATTTGATGACTTTCCGATGAGCTGCAGCTACTTGCGAGGCGTGTGTGCTAATCACCTGTCGGTGATGTTGTTACAGCAGGAGAGGTAGAGATGTTGCAGTCTGGGGAGGTAGGGCGCCGCCTGCGCCACGCCGCGGTCGCTGATGCCTGGGCAGTGGCTGAGCACGAGACTAGTGAGGCTGCGGCAGTGACGCGCCGTCGACACAAAGCTGTCGTCTGTGATCTCCGGCAGCATGGAGAGAGACAGATGGTGCAGATCTGGGAAACGCATCACCTGAGAGACGAGAACTTTTCAAATATTTTGCATTGCAAACTGAAACCTCCCGCTGCCCGTCCTCCTCCTACCTGAGTGATGCTGCTGTCCGTCAGTTTGGAGCAGGCAGAGAGGTCCAGTTCCTGCAGCCTGCTGAGAGCTAGAAGAGAAGCTCCAGCCTGCTGTCTGAACTGCTCCAGGTCATTCGGAGTCACCAGCTTGGGTCGCTCCTCGAAAGGCAAGCGAGGAGGCTTGAAGAAGCCCATGTTGCCAAAAGTGCGGGTGAACCTGGGCCCCTTGTCTCCCTGTTAGAGCGAATTATTATAACAAGCACACGTGCTCAGAGCAGAACATCGACACAAAGCTGTGATTCTCACCGTCTCCTCGTCAGGCTCGCATTTGGCTCTTTGCACCATTCCCAGCAGACCCCAGTCTGTCACTTCTTTACACCAGCCGAGCCGCAGCACCACCAGCTTCTGCAGGTAGGTGGCGACGGCGCACACAGACAGGTCCGTCACATTACTGCAGGAAGTCAGGTCGAGCTCGCAGAGAGTGTCCCCGAGCAGCCGGGCGAGAAAGAAAACTGCAGGATCCTAAAAGAAAGGCAGGAAGCTACGATTTTTCTGTTTTAAAGCGAATGAAGCGACGCGGACAATGACCGACCCTGATGTAGGTGCAGCTCCTGAGGTTGAGCGTCTCTAGCTGTCGTCTGGCAGCATCGGATCCCTTTAAGCCTTTCACCATCTCTGTGCCGTTGATGTGCAGACACTCGGACAGGTCCAGAGAGCGCAGGGAGGGCAGCAACAGCAGGTCCGACAGACCTGTGGGTAACACG